TGACAAATAACGAATTTAGAAGGGATTATGTTTTAATGTACAAAATATATTTCCTCCATCCTCCAGGGTATTGAATGAGATGCCAGATAACGAATTTAGAAGGGATTATGTTTTAATGTACAAAATATATTTCCTCCATCCTCCAGGGTATTGAATGAGATGACAAATAACGAATTTAGAAGGGATTATGTTTTAATGTACAAAATATATTTCCTCCATCCTCCAGGGTATTGAATGAGATGACAAATAACGAATTTAGAAGGGATTATGTTTTAATGTACAAAATATATTTCCTCCATCCTCCAGGGTATTGAATGAGATGACAAATAAATAACGAATTTAGAAGGGATTAAGTTTTAATGTACAAAAATATATTTCCTCCATCCTCCAGGGTATTGAATGAGATGCCAGATAACGAATTTAGAAGGGATTATTTTTTAATGTATAAAATATATATTTCCTCCATCCTCAGGGTATTGAATGAGATCCAAATAACGAATTTAGAAGGGATTATGTTTTAATGTACAAAATATATTTCCTCCATCCTCCAGGGTATTGAATGAGATGACAAATAACGAATTTAGAAGGGATTATGTTTTAATGTACAAAATATATTTCCTCCATCCTCCAGGGTATTGAATGAGATGACAAATAACGAATTTAGAAGGGATTATGTTTTAATGTACAAAATATATTTCCTCCATCCTCCAGGGTTTGAATGAGATGACAAATAACGAATTTAGAAGGGATTATGTTTTAATGTACAAAATATATTTCCTCCATCCTCCAGGGTATTGAATGAGATGACAAATAACGAATTTAGAAGGGATTATGTTTTAATGTACAAAATATATTTCCTCCATCCTCCAGGGTATTGAATGAGATGACAAATAACGAATTTAGAAGGGATTATGTTTTAATGTACAAAATATATTTCCTCCATCCTCCAGGGTATTGAATGAGATGCCAGATAACGAATTTAGAAGGGATTATGTTTTAATGTACAAAAATATATTTCCTCCATCCTCCAGGGTATTGAATGAGATGCCAGATAACGAATTTAGAAGGGATTATGTTTTAATGTACAAAATATATTTCCTCCATCCTCCAGGGTATTGAATGAGATGACAAATAACGAATTTAGAAGGGATTATGTTTTAATGTACAAAATATATTTCCTCCATCCTCCAGGGTATTGAATGAGATGACAAATAACGAATTTAGAAGGGATTATGTTTTAATGTACAAAATATATTTCCTCCATCCTCCAGGGTATTGAATGAGATGACAAATAACGAATTTAGAAGGGATTATGTTTTAATGTACAAAATATATTTCCTCCATCCTCCAGGGTATTGAATGAGATGCCAGATAACGAATTTAGAAGGGATTATGTTTTAATGTACAAAATATATTTCCTCCATCCTCCAGGGTATGAATGAGATGACAAATAACGAATTTAGAAGGGATTATGTTTTAATGTACAAAATATATTTCCTCCATCCTCCAGGGTATTGAATGAGATGACAAATAACGAATTTAGAAGGGATTATGTTTTAATGTACAAAATATATTTCCTCCATCCTCCAGGGTATTGAATGAGATGACAAATAAAATAACGAATTTAGAAGGGATTAAGGGATTATTTTTTAATGTACAAAATATATTTCCTCCATCCTCCAGGGTATTGAATGAGATGCCAGATAACGAATTTAGAAGGGATTATGTTTTAATGTACAAAATATATTTCCTCCATCCTCCAGGGTATTGAATGAGATGACAAATAACGAATTTAGAAGGGATTATGTTTTAATGTACAAAATATATTTCCTCCATCCTCCAGGGTATTGAATGAGATGACAAATAACGAATTTAGAAGGGATTATGTTTTAATGTACAAAATATATTTCCTCCATCCTCCAGGGTATTGAATGAGATGACAAATAACGAATTTAGAAGGGATTATGTTTTAATGTACAAAATATATTTCCTCCATCCTCCAGGGTATTGAATGAGATGACAAATAACGAATTTAGAAGGGAATTATGTTTTAATGTACAAAATATATTTCCTCCATCCTCCAGGGTATTGAATGAGATCCAGGGTATTGAATGAGATGACAAATAACGAATTTAGAAGGGATTATGTTTTAATGTACAAAATATATTTCCTCCATCCTCCAGGGTATTGAATGAGATGCCAGATAACGAATTTAGAAGGGATTATTTTTTAATGTACAAAATATATTTCCTCCATCCTCCAGGGTATTGAATGAGATGACAAATAACGAATTTAGAAGGGATTATGTTTTAATGTACAAAATATATTTCCTCCATCCTCCAGGGTATTGAATGAGATGACAAATAACGAATTTAGAAGGGATTATGTTTTAATGTACAAAAATATATTTCCTCCATCCTCCAGGTTTATTGAATGAGATGACAAATAACGAATTTAGAAGGGATTATGTTTTAATGTACAAAATATATTTCCTCCATCCTCCAGGGTATTGAATGAGATGACAAATAACGAATTTAGAAGGGATTATGTTTTAATGTACAAAAATATATTTCCTCCATCCTCCAGGGTATTGAATGAGATGACAAATAACGAATTTAGAAGGGATTATGTTTTAATGTACAAAATATATTTCCTCCATCCTCCACGGTTTTGAATGAGATGACAAGATAACGAATTTAGAAGGGATTATGTTTTAATGTACAAAAATATATTTCCTCCATCCTCCAGGGTATTGAATGAGATGACAAATAACGAATTTAGAAGGGATTATGTTTTAATGTACAAAATATATTTCCTCCATCCTCCAGGGTATTGAATGAGATGACAAATAACGAATTTAGAAGGGATTATGTTTTAATGTACAAAATATATTTCCTCCATCCTCCAGGGTATTGAATGAGATGACAAATAACGAATTTAGAAGGGATTATGTTTTAATGTGTAAAATATATTTCCTCCATCCTCCAGGGTATTGAATGAGATGCCAGATAACGAATTTAGAAGGGATTATGTTTTAATGTACAAAATATATTTCCTCCATCCTCCAGGGTATTGAATGAGATGACAAATAACGAATTTAGAAGGGATTATGTTTTAATGTACAAAATATATTTCCTCCATCCTCCAGGGTATTGAATGAGATGACAAATAACGAATTTAGAAGGGATTATGTTTTAATGTACAAAATATATTTCCTCCATCCTCCAGGGTATTGAATGAGATGACAAATAACGAATTTAGAAGGGATTATGTTTTAATGTACAAAATATATTTCCTCCATCCTCCAGGGTATTGAATGAGATGACAAATAACGAATTTAGAAGGGATTATGTTTTAATGTACAAAATATATTTCCTCCATCCTCCAGGGTATTGAATGAGATGCAAGATAACGAATTTAGAAGGGATTATGTTTTAATGTACAAAATATATTTCCTCCATCCTCCAGGGTATTGAATGAGATGACAAATAACGAATTTAGAAGGGATTATGTTTTAATGTACAAAATATATTTCCTCCATCCTCCAGGGTATTGAATGAGATGACAAATAACGAATTTAGAAGGGATTATGTTTTAATGTACAAAATATATTTCCTCCATCCTCCAGGGTATTGAATGAGATGACAAATAACGAATTTAGAAGGGATTATGTTTTAATGTACAAAATATATTTCCTCCATCCTCCAGGGTATTGAATGAGATGACAAATAACGAATTTAGAATTTAGAAGGGATTATGTTTTAATGTACAAAATATATATTTCCTCCATCCTGTTTTGAATGATGACAAATAACGAATTTAGAAATTATAAAAATATATTTCCTCCATCCTCCAGGGTATTGAATGAGATGACAAATAACGAACGAATTTAGAAGGGATTATGTTTTAATGTACAAAATATATTTCCTCCATCCTCCAGGGTATTGAATGAGATGACAAATAACGAATTTAGAAGGGATTATGTTTTAATGTACAAAATATATTTCCTCCATCCTCCAGGGTATTGAATTCCTCCATCCTTTCCCTGCAGTATACAATTTCTTCAGTTTTTTTTTATTTAATATGTTTCATTATTATTTGTTTCAACGGTTACTTATTTTGCTGTTCCACGTGAAATAAACTGTTTTTGTATTAGCCGGCTAACTATGATACATATATCATTCTGTATTAAGTTAAATAAGAATATCATTTTATTGCTTGTTCTCTGTTTTGTGTAATGGTATAAATGCGGATACTTTTTCAATTCCTTCTATTAGTTCACACTCTTCCTATATATGTCTTGTTCAAATTTTCAATCGTTCATTAAATACTTTTTATTCATCCATTCAAGTTCAAATACATTTTTTTTAAGTTGTACTGGATGACACTTAATGTTAATATAGTTTTTTCAAATATTAATTCAGTAATTAAAATTGAATTAATTAATTTTTATTCTTTTTAGATTTAAGTTGCGTATATCTACCAATAGATGGCGCCAGATAAACTTCGAAAAATGAATGAAAATTATTTATAAAGGACTTTCTGCAATACAGTGGAAAAAAAGTTGGAATTGGCATTAAAAAATATTTTTTTATATTACTTGTTTCTGATTAACAGATAAAAACGAATATATTATCAAGAGTGTCCTCGATTGATTGACTAAAGAGGTCAATATGATGATTGGTGAATATGAATCTTATATTTCTTGAATATCTCCAAAGAGAGCATTGCTTTTTTTACCGTGGGTTGTATGGACTGCTTTACAACAGACTTAAGATATTCAGTCCTTACAAGCATCGATAATCAGCAAGCATTTAATGCAGTCAATAGCTTTCATTTTTCTAACTATATCGTTAATGTAAATATTAAACTGAGTGCAGCTAGACACCTGACACTGAGGCAAGTCAATCTTTAGGGATCTAAACTTCGAATAGCAATTTATATATCGGACCCTACATATAGGGTTATTTAAAAAACCACGGAACTAGTTTAATATATTCGGCGCCTGATGGCAGAGTGGCTAATGCTCTGGCGCTAGGTGCCACAGATTTCGGGTTCGAATCCCGGCGGTGCTATGGATGTTTATAGTGGTTCGGAATCCACTTTAAGCCGGCGCCCCCAGTCTCACATGACCGTAGAGCGTCACAGAACCCCTTCAGACTTCTTCTCACCCACATCATTCCCAAACTGCAAAGGGGCAACTTTGCTCTAGGCACAGTGATGCGGTGTGGTGGTGCAGTAGTAGTTTAATATATTCGACTGAGCACCCATGTCAGAGAGCTTCAAAAGGATATTTTCTCTCCATATCAGATCGTAAGCAGATTAAAAATCTATAAAGATAGCAGAAAAAAACGAATACATTATCAAGAGCATCCTTTGATGGATCGACTAAAGAAAGCAACATGATGATTGGTGGATATGAATCTTCGAAACCCTGTTTGCTCCTCCTCGAGAATGCCTCCAGTCTCCAAGGACCAGTTTAGTTCACTAATAATAATTCTTTCAAAGGTCTTACAAAAGTTACTTGTCAGGGAGATCGGCCTGTAGCTCTGGATCGCCACTGGGTCTCTAACTTTTTTATAGACCCGGATTATTGTAGGTTTACAACAGTGGGAGGGAAGATATCCCGAAGACCATATTTTATTAAAGAGCCTCAAAATTTACTGAAAAGCTCTAGGACAGGGGTCTCCAAACTACGGCCCACGGGCCAAATCCAGTGTCATCAATCCGGCCCGCGACAGCGAATAATTTATTGTTGCTTTAATAAGTTGGATAAAAAAAACACAGAATGATAATAACTCGGTTTTATTTACTTGCTAGGTAAACTTAATGGCAAGCATAATAAGCAGAAAATTTAACTTAAGCATAGCAACTAACAAATAATTGAAATGAATCCCACTAACATTATAAACTAGTGAACATCCCGCGGTTACCCTCGGTAGTTATACCTACCTGTTTCCGATTTTGACCACTAGATGTCGTCAAGTGTCACAGTCGTATCGATACACACAATAGTAATTGTTGTAATAGAACCAGCGAATTTAGCAAGCGTATGCTAGCTCAGAACGCGCATTGGGCGACTAGTCTAGAAATTATAGATAATGGCAAAAAAATTAAAACGGTTTTGGCCCTTGGTTACTTACTGAAGTAAACAGTATGGCCCTAAGGCTGGAAAGTTTGGAGACCCCTGCTCTAGGACATAAGTGTACGAGGAACACACAGAATATGCCCTCCTTCCCCGGGAACTTGCGTGTTTGTGAACTGCTTAATTCGATTGAGCTAATAGGGACATTGAAGATAGAGATCCTCTGAGACCCCTGAGTTCACTTTATTCAGTGTGTTACTTTAGTTTTTGAATAACTTTCCTAAACTGACGTCTTGCAAAAGGCCATTTTTTCTGTGAATCAGCAAAATACAGTTATTAAAAATGAAAGTTCGTTTAAGGCTTTGGCGTAACCGTTAGTGAATTTAGCTAAAACGCTGAACGTTCTCTTACCGTGCCTTCGAAAATCTAGATTACTTTGGTTTGGTTTGTCGCTCTACGATCATCTTGTGCACACTTTAGGCTAAACAGACCGGGACATAAGACAGAACGTGTATATACATGTACATGTATATTCACATGTATTCAGACCAGACAGACAATTTAAAGTGGATTCCGAACCACTACACACATCCATGGCACCGCCGGGACTTGAACCCGAAACCTGTGGTACCGAGCACCAGAGCGCTAGCCACTCGGCCCATTCAGGCCCCGAAAATCTAGATTAGAGATGAATTCATTAAAAGTGAAACATTTTCCCTGCAAAAACTTTTTCTCGAAAACAGCAGCCTAACATATCCAGGCCTGAATATCCTAGTTTGCTTTGTCGCTCTATGGCCATTTTGTGCACACTTTAGGCTAATTAGACAGGGACCTACAGTTTAACGTGAATTCCGAACGACTGACAAACGCCCATGCCACCGTCAGGACTCGAATCTGAAGTGTAAACTATTTGTTATTATAAAAGACAACAGATGGCTCCACGAACAAGAGATGTAACTCTATATAAGGCTGTTGTCTTGTACGAGGATTCCAATGTAAGAGCAAGGGCAGAAAAGGATCGCGACGGAGTTGCTGATGGCGGGTGGTGGTTTGATTAAGTATTTTTGGTACCAATAAAATTCATATATATATATATATCAACTGAAAATTGTATCAATTAATGATAAAAGATAAAGAAGATAACAGAAGCGTGTGTGCCAATGGCCAGAGCGCTAGCCAATTGGCCATCAAGCCGCTCTGATTATCCTGACATTGTACTCATTTCATTATGCTACGAAAAAGCCTAGTCATTTTACATGCTCTATATATAAGGTTACAAAAAGAATAATTAATTAGCAATTATTGTTACGTTTTAGATAAAAAAAACAGAACGATTCCTAAAAATAAAATTGTTGTCAAGATAAAAAAAAATAACTCGGATTGAGCAATATATATTCATGTATATCTTCAAATAAAAATTATGCTTAAATAATTATAAACAAATTTTTTCATTTTCAAATGATAAATTAAATTAGCGTAATATGAATAATTTGAAGACTATGTTTATGTAATATGATATGCTTATGCTTAATAAGACTATGCTTATTTATTCTACTATGTTTACTGTAAAGACGAAGAATAAACTTGATTTATCTGTACTTATCAAGAGATACTGATGACTGTATATTACTGATTATAAAAACTTTCACTATTCAATATTTCTTCATTATTTATTTAAAATACTAATTGTATGCGATGCTTTATACTTTGTATACAAAGAGATTACGACGTCATTTAAAGAAAATACTCCTAAAATTTTTAAGGATTTTTTTATCTCATTAACAGTAAGATTTCACAAACATAACTTAGATAAATGCTTGAAAATATACTTCTATAGAAAATAACAATTTAAACGTAAATTAAAATTTATAATGTTTTCAGTGTAAATATTTGCAATGTTATCTCATTATTAATTTAATATTTTTTTTTTATTTTGTTCTAATCAGCTGGCAAACACTTAAACAGTTGTCTTCGATGCCTTAAGGCAAGCGCTGCACCGACGATACTCACTTAGCACTACCCAGGAGGTGCATATAGCTTGAAGATAAGCTACGGACGCGGAGTAACAATACCTCGTAACGCTCTACGATCCTGTTAGACTGGGACCTACGGTTTAAAGTGGATTCCAAACACTACAAAATACATGGACTCGAACTGGAAACCTGTGGTACTGAGTGCCAGGGCGCTAGCCACTCGGCCATTCAGGTTCACTCATTAATTTAATGTAAAAAAAATGAAAAAGAAATTTTCCACTCTTTATAGAAACTCGTATATATGTCATTATTTGTTATTTGATTTTTACAATAAAATAATTTTTTACATCTTATAATCATTAAAATTAGAAATCATCAGCAGAATATCATTCGATTTAATATTTCTAACATGACTCGTGTTTATTTAACATGCGGATAGAAAATTATATCAATGAAATACTTACAGCAATCTTTCAAAGGGAGCTTTGTTATACCTTATTATTAAATTCAACCAAAATTGTTCAGAATTAGTTATAAATGTAAAAACTTGGACTGAGAGTAAATATATGCACTTTACTCGACAAAATCTGTACTTCAAATGAAAGGAAACAATGTCTTCTATGCTATGTTTTATTGTTGCTGTTATTGTTACTCTGTTGTGCGTTTCAACAATCCTTTTAACAATAAAACATTTTTAAAATAATTTTACAGTTTAAAATCACTTTGTTGGGATAATTCCATTGTTGCTATGCGATACAAACATCGGAATCGAATTTTTACAAAATCTAAAGAAATTTCATAAATATTCTTACTTTATAATTTAACTTTTAATTTCTTTTCCACTAAAACTCAGAAACAACTTCTTTGCATCCAGTACATAAAAGCTAGTTATTTTTACGAAGTATATTTTCTTAAACATTATTAGAGTTTTACTGATATTTTAAAATCCTTTAAAATTGGAAAATTTATTGCAAAACTCACTATTTTTTTATCAATTTTTCCCCTTTTTTATTAAAAGATATCGTTATTAACGACGGAATAACGAATCGTTATTAACTACACCACACCACCTTGCCTAGAGCTGAGTTGCCCCTTTACAGTTTGGGAATGGAGTGGGTGAGAAGTCTGATTGGGCTCTGTGATGCTTTATGGTCATATGAAACCGGGACCTACAGCTTAAAGTGGAATCCGAACCACTACAAACATCCATGGCATCTCCGGGATTCGAACCCGATGCCTGCGGTACCGAGTGCCAGAGCGCTAGCCACTCGGTCATCAGGCCCCAAGACAAGAGTACAAAAAATTAATTTATTAAATAAATGTAAGAAACGTAATTTCAAATTATAAATATTCTGATTCTACTTAGCTAATTCTAGATGAATGGCCCCATAAATACCACAGGTAAACAAAACTGCCCATGTTTTATATACAAGGTTCCTGCATGATCTTCCTCGACAACTTCGAAGACCTTTGCGTTTTTCACACAATTAGCTGCCATGCAATTTGTCCTCTGACATTATAACTTTGCATTTGAAACAGTTTTTCAAGACATTACGAATAGATCTTCTACTCTTGACGGCGGCCTAAAGCAAATTGGCTAGCACTCTGCCCTTTGGCACCCCAAGTTTAGGTTCGAATCCTGGCGATGGCATGGATGTTGGTGAGTGGTTCGGAATCCACGTTAAACAGTAGATTCCGGTCTAATTAGCTCAAAGTGTGCACAAAATAACCGTACATCGACAAACAAAACAAAACCTACCCTCGACGATACAAAAATTACTAAATGTTGTTGTTGTACTGTTAACAGTAACATCAACAGTAACTCTGCCGTTACTGTTGATGATGCGTAAAATCAGCATAGATCTAAACCTTTACAACATTAAAAAAAAACGAGTTTATGTTAAAATTCACCCTACTTGGGTAATTGGATTCAAACAATAATACAAAACGATATTATATCACTGTAACCAAACATTCAGTAGCTATCCCACTTTCTGTGATCTAAGTACTTGGTAGG